ACAAAACAGAAACTTTTTTTTTGCAAACAATGAGACACCCAAATCCGAGTTGGTATCCAGCACCACATGAAAATGCCCTAAATTTATTTCTCTTTTACTAGATTAAATTATAGTGGCTTTGCAAGATGGAGTGTTGTTGGGAAATTTGTTATTTCCTTCAAAAGAAAACAAACCATCTATGTTTCTTCTATGCAGTTTACTTTTCTCTCTTTATCATCTAGTTCTTCTTGTAGTATGCTGTAAAACTATGCATGGTTTCTAAACAACCCTTTGAATTTCTTTTGGTGGTGGCTACTCTTCTCTTCAGTTGCTGTCCCCCAGCTCCAGCACTGTTACCACCTGCCACTTCCGCACCGCATAGCTGTTGGGTGGTGTACCATGATCTGCTCATGGTCTGAATTTGTACAAATGGTTTTCTGAAGTATGAGCACGAGGGGGTGTCTTCTTTAAAACTTTGGGTCTTCTGATGCTTGAATGAATGGTTATCTGGGGCCAATAGGTGCTAGTAATCACTGGACACAGGAGTTCAAAAGGTTGCGGATGCAAATGAGGGCCCACGTGTGTCTAACGCTGATGGTGACTGAGGGCAGGCTTGCAACAGCTACCTGGGAATGCAGTATGTGCCCCTTCTGACAGAGGAGATGGCCTCTAAATGCCACTGCAAATGTGCTGACTTCCAGTATGTTGAGGTTTTTTTCTCCTATTAGCAGGATAAGTTTCCACTGGAGAATAGCTGGTGCTGTGTGACTTAGCTAGAACAATTCCTTCCTGCATCCCTGTAATTGATTTCTGATCTGTGTGTCTGCTTTGTTTCAAAATTAACCTCGTGTGCCTGAGTGGGAGACACTGATTTTGAATGTATTCATTTGCAGTCCCATCCACCAGAGGACGAAGATACAGATGTCATGTTAGGGCAGAGGCCGAAAAATCCAATACATAATATCCCTTCTACACTGGATAAACAAACCAATTGGAGTAAAGCACTACCTCTCCCAACTCCAGAGGAGAAAATGAAACAAGATGCCCAAGTGATTTCTTCTTGCATTATCCCCATCAATGTCACTGGTACAAATCTCTTCTATTTCTTTTTGTATTTATTGCATGGTTCAAGGGAGGTCAAGTACTTATTTTGTTTAATTTATTTGAAGTCACGGGATTGTGCAGTCTGGGGGCAAAGACCCTAGCTTGAGGATTTAGTTTCTAGAAGACAGTGGGCTAATTTCATCCCTTATGCGTGACTGCTGGAGTCGCTGAAGCCGCATCTAGGATTAATTTGGCCCATATTTTCAGAGCCATGTTATATAGTGTAACATAACCCTGGGTTCTCTGCATAAACAATGTACTTTTGTTGTGTATATAACCTACAGTCTGTATTTACAAAGACCTCAAATAACTTTTTGAATGTAGCTGACTGAAATAATGCAGAACACCACCAAAATTAATCATATGATTATCATGTGTAGCAGGAGAAGAGAAACTAGAGAATGTAGGCTACTATTTGCAGTGCTTTAAATATGCGAGGCATGAATGTGTAGCATGCAAACCATCGCTCTGAGATCTCTTTACATGCAGCTATGCTGAAGGTATAGTAATGGCATTTTCTTTTATTTCTATAACATTTGGATACAATTGACTAGATTTACTTGAAGGAGAACTTGTTTATAGAAGCATCAGGTATACCACTTATTAAATGTGATAGATGACTTATTTCCAGAATCAAAAATCAGAATGTTTTCTCTTTCTCTTTTTCTCTTTCTCTCATTCCAGAGGGCTATGGTAAACATAAAGTTGATCTGAGTTTTCCTCAATAATATTTCCAAGTACCAAGTTTTGATTAACGTAAGAGCATAAAGTGGACTGACTTCCACAGTTATAGACTTCAATATAAACAATTAGAAAAAAAGCAGGGACCTTTCAGCTAGCCTTCATTCCCCAGAGAAAATATTTGTATTTAATTCTATTTTCCCAGTAACTGGGAGGTTGGGCTAAGGTCACAACCCTCACATCCCATTGTTCTTTCCCGTGTCTATCAGCAGTGCACCAGCCTCCCCGCAAGACAGGCTGTAGGATTCACCATGGTGCTGGGGAGGGCTGTATGCCCATAGTCCAACTTCAGCCCCCAGCCAAGGGGCTCTGGGCTTTTGGACTTGCAGCACATCTGTCTTACAGCACCATGGTGACCAGTCCCCATCTGCTCTACTGTCAGCTGCATGAATCCTCCCGGTGACAGCAACACAGCCTTGGTTCTCCTCTGCCCCAACAGTGGAGCTGACACTGCAGTGCCACCAGCTCTGCTTGCCTGGGGAGATGGCAGCCAGGAGTGGGTGTCCCTGTCACTGGGATGGTGCTTCTGGCCAGTCAGGGCCCGAGTGGAGGACAGGCAGCTGGCAGGCAGAACTGCCTGCATAGACATTGCTGGCTGGAGGTTGGGACCCGGCTGGTCAAGGTTGCAGGTTGGGCACTGCTACTGCAAATCCCCATGGAAAGTCATAGATAATGTGGCATATTTCCATGAGGTAAAGCTGGTGTTAAAATGATGCTCTTTCTAGATTCAGTATAGGACCCTAAAGGGTGTAGGTTTTCTAAGAAGGCTAATGTCACCTTATGCAGTCAGAGGAGAGTTAGGTCTGGGACCAATGTTAACTTTTCCAGTAATAGCCATTTTTGCCTAGACTCCACCTGCCATACATTGGAACCAAATTTCCACTGATCAGTTTTACAGATCAAGAATGGTATGTAATCTTCTGGATGTTTATGTGTATCATTCTCATTAGCACTAATGGGAATAATTTGTATGCGTCACGGGGAGGATATATCCTCTTCCACTTTCCTCTCGGAGATGACCCCCGTGCATCTGGCGCACAGAGCATGTTCGGCTAATTCACAGTTGCTGGAAAACCAGCAATGATGCTGATTGATTTTTTGTTTCAAAGAGTTTGCTTTCAGTTCTCTGTTTTTGTTTTTTAAGCTTCTCCCAACCCTGAGAAATGTTCACTTTTTTGAAAATGATTGTTGTTGGAGTTTATAGCACCTTTGTTCCATATTAAAGAAAGTTCTTCCTCTGCTTATTCCAGGGGCATTGGTGGTTACAGGACATCTGTCTGAAGCCTCTATTTCACTGTAGTAGATTTCAAGAAGAACTTTTACAAGAAAGTTACTTTTTAATGTTTTACATTGTTACGTAATGTAATATGTATGTGTATGTCTGTGTATAATTATGTTTTTTATAATTATACGCTATTAAAATAGAGCTTCTTATCAGGATTTTTATTTTCCTTTTGTTTGGTTTAGTTTGTTTGTTTTTCTTAAGATTACAAACCACTGTACCAGCAATCCTTATGTTAGTGTCTTTATGGACCTGGCACATTTTTTCCAACCTGTCCCACGTCAACTTTAGAGAGCGTGAGTGAGTGTATGCTTGTGCAAAAAGCCAGCGCAGCTGGGCACTGGTCTTCTGGTTGGCCTCCTTTACACTCTATTTTGACAACACAGTGTAAAAAACAAAGTGAAAGATACTTTCCTGTGCTAATGCCATGGAAACATAAAGAAAATAGGGGATTCTCACCTATTCTATGCACATTAGTTTATCTGGTCGTAAACAAATGTGCTCGTGAACTTGGGCTTCTAAATCTAAACTGAGGATCTTGATTGCATGACCTGATTCCCTGAGTGGACTCCCACTATGTGCTGAGCACATGTGAAAATCAGCACACTTACTGATGTAAAGAAATAGCAGCTCCCCGTTAATGTCACTCTTGGCCTTGTGTCATTGTTACAGAAAATGCTCTCTAAACTTGCACGGTGACTTGGCCCCATTTTAGCTGTCTCCTTCCTTTTTGAAATGTTAGCCCCCTTGGCATATTGGTCTCCTAAGAAGCGCCCAATTACTGCAATATGGCATTATAACCTTAAAATGGCTTCTTATGCTTAGTTGCTTAAAGTAAGTCAGGCAATAGCTGAATAGATAATGCTTTGCAGACAAGTTACTGTCATTATCCCTATGACAGATGGATAAATAGCTATAAGAAAGATGCCCTGTTACCAAGAGCTCTCAACTCTATTTGCCTTCCTGATTTTCTTTTCTTTTCCTTTTCTTTTTCTTTTCATGCCTTCTGTTATTTTTGGCAGACCAGGCTGCTGAGGGGGAGCTGGAATTAGATGTAAAACTGTGATATACTGTGATATAATTTACATAAGAGCTACATAAGGGCTCCCTTATGTTTATTCACAGGCTTAATCCAAGCTCACATACCTCCACTGTGTTCCAGCCATGAAAATTTGTTTACTATTTCTAAAGGCTAATGAGACCTATTTATGGGTTGCAGGAGTTGGTTTTGACAGAGAGGCTAGTATACGCTGCTCTCTTGTTCATTCACAATCTGTACTACAGCGGAGACGAAAGTTGAGGAGGAGGAAAACCATCTCTGGCATCCCCAGAAGAGTGCAACAAGAAATAGGTGTAGTATAAATACAAATCTTCCGTAGATAGCTTTCTAACAAACTTAAATTGCAGGGATATGAGCTGGTAGCTAGCCTTCCAAAGAAACGAAACCTTTAAATTGTAAATGCTTCTGGAGTTTGGGAATGACATGTTTTGTTTTTTTGATTTACTACAGTAAGCAAAGCTATATTACTCCATATGGCCTTGAAGGACCGGGGGCCTTACTGAGTAATATAGATGTACGTGTTCAGCTCTTATTGTGTAAATGTTAATCAGTTCTTTTTTTTTTTCATTTTATTTCTGTTATGAACCCATAGTTATGTGCATAAAAAGTAACTAGATTAAGTGAAAGTTTTTTCTTGCGTGAGGGGAGCTTAAGGTAAAGAACTGACAGATGTTGCTCAGCAAAGTGGTGATGAGCTGTCACAACAGCTGGATAACTCAGATGAGCGGTTGGATATCTGCCTTAGAAACAGCTGCTGGTACCCTACGGGAGCTTTGCTAAACCTTTATTTTATTTATCAGACTCCTCGATTCCTTCTTTTTATTCTTTATTACCAAGAATATTTGCCTGAAATCTATCTACTTACCTCACTTTTTGTAACAGGTAAATTAGGAGCAACTCTGTTGAGGGTGAATTCTGTGTAAAATTGTTATTAACCCAAAATGAAACTAACAGGATTGTTATTTCTTAATGTTCATGTACACCTGAAGATGGCTCTGGTATCTTGGTCCGTTGCCATGAAACTTCATTGGAAGGAAAAGGAATGTATTTATCATAGGGAATAAGGAACTAGAGAACCTATGAAAGAAAGATCCTGTTGCCTTGCAAATATTCTTAGTAGTAAAGAAGTAGATAATGGAAGTTCTGAACAGACAGGTAGTCAAAATAGAATTATTTTTAGAAGCTCATGGAGTGTTTTGTCCAGCAGCCACTCCTGAAAACTGTCTTTAACTAGTTGAAATAGAGTGACAAAAACTGAAAACCTAGTATTTATCTTAATATTTACCACAGTAAGCTCAGCTCCACAAGAGATCACATTGCAGAAATAGGAGAACAGAGATCACATTGCAGGACTAGGAGAATTTCCCTACCTCACTGGCATGAGGTCTGCCTTATATAGATTTATAGCCAACTTAAATTTTGTCCAACGCTCAGCAAGATTAAAAAAATAAAGAATACAGCAGATAATGCTTCTTGGGTTGCTCCGCGCGTTGTCTCATGGCAGGAAATGTGCAACTCTCTCCCACTCACCCAGCTTTCCGTGTGTCCTAGATTCAGACGAGTCACCAGTGGCAAGAGAGCGCAATGTGATTGTGCACACAAACCCAGACTTCTCTGGCTCCAGCAACAGGAGGTCGGGGACCCGGGACTCGGAGTGCCAGACGGAAGAAATCCTAATAGCTGCTCCCTCACGGCGACGGATCCGTGCCCAGAGGGGGCAGAGCGTTGTTGCCTCCCTCTCCCACTCTGCTGGCAACATCTTGGTGCTGGCAGACAATGGGGATGCCGTCTTCGCTGCCGCTGTAAGCAACCGCATCCGCTCACGGAGCCTTCCTCGCGAGGGAGCCCGGGCCAGTGAGGGCCATCAGGATGCCACTACCAAGAGTGGAGGCTATGAAGCAGAGCACTTCCTAGCTGGTCAGGAGAGGATCCCAAAAAAAGGAAAGGAGGTCTTGATCAAGCAGGGTTCACAGGAACGCCAGCCCATTGGTTTAACTTGTCCTCAGCACCTGCACAGCCCCGAACACAGCATCGGCGAGAGAGGGAGATCACGGCTGTCGAGGATGGTCGATTCAGGCAGCTGTGAGATTTCGTCCAACTCAGACACTTTCGGGAGCCCAATTCACTCCATCTCCACAGCAGGAGTCCTGCTCAGCAGCCACATGGACCAGAAAGATGACCACCAGTCCTCCAGTGGCAACTGGAGTGGGAGCAGCTCAACATGTCCCTCCCAGACATCTGAAACCATTCCTCCTGCTGCCTCTCCTCCGCTAACAGGCTCTTCGCACTGTGACTCTGAGCTGTCGCTCAACACTGCTCCCAATGCCAACGAGGACTCCAGTGTCTTCACAGAGCAGTTTGGTGACCATGCAGACAAGGTCAGGGGCCACAGGGCGAGCTCCTTCACCTCCACTGTGGCAGATTTACTGGATGACCCCAACAACAGCAACACGAGTGACAGTGAGTGGAACTACCTGCACCATCACCACGACGCCTCCTGTCGCCAGGACTTCAGTCCTGAGCGTCCAAAGGCAGACAGCCTGGGATGCCCCAGCTTCACCAGCATGGCCACCTATGACAGCTTCCTCGAAAAGACCCCCTCTGACAAGGCAGACACTAGCTCACACTTTTCTGTGGATACTGAAGGATACTATACCTCCATGCACTTTGACTGCGGTCTCAAGGGTAATAAAAGCTATATTTGCAACTATGCAGCCCCAGGCTCCGAGATTGGCCAGACCGGGAGCGTGACTTCCAGCCTGGCTGACTGCACCTGGCAGGAGTGCATGAGCCACAGGAGGCAGGGACGGCAGAGCTTCTCACTGAAGAAACCAAAGGCAAAGCCAGCCCCACCAAAACGCAGCTCGTCTTTGAGAAAATCAGAGGGCAGCACCGACCTTCCTGACAAGAAAGAACCAAAGATCGGTGGCGGACAGCATGTCTCTCACACTGCCAGGGAGATGAAGCTGCCCCTTGAATTTTCAAACACACCTTCCCGAGTGGAAGGCCCCAACCTGCCAGCCAAGCAGGAGCTTCCCTGGGCAAACCAGGGTGATGGCGGGTTAAAAGACACTGCGTTTGACACCGCCGATATCCCCTCCTTTAAAGATGAAGGTGCTGAACAACCTCACTATGCAGACCTCTGGCTTCTGAACGACTTGAAATCCAGCGATCCTTACAGGTCCTTGTCCAATTCAAGCACCGCTACGGGTACTACAGTCATAGAGTGCATCAAGTCACCAGAGAGCTCTGAATCCCAGACATCTCAGTCTGGGTCACGAGCTACTACCCCATCCCTCCCCTCTGTTGATAATGAGTTTAAGCTGGCCTCTCCCGAGAAGCTGGCGGGGTTAGCCTCACCTTCCAGTGGGTACTCCAGCCAGTCGGAGACGCCCACCTCTTCTTTTCCAACAGCTTTCTTTTCGGGACCCTTGTCTCCAGGGGGGAGCAAGAGGAAGCCAAAAGTACCAGAGAGGAAGTCATCACTGCAGCAGCCACTCTCAAAAGACAGCACTGCCTCGGTGAGCAAAGACCTTGAACTTCCAATTATACCTCCTACTCACCTTGACCTAAGTGCTCTTCACAATGTCTTGAGTAAGCCCTTCGCTCACAGGCACCAGCTGCATACCTTCAGCCACAGCAAGCAGAGCGCAGTCGGGGAAGCCCTGCAGCCCAGCCCTCCCTCCGCCCTCGCCATCACACCCTCCGTTCTCAAGTCTGTCCACCTCCGGGCAGTCAACAAGCCTGAAGGAGTGAAACATAAAGGCAGTACCCCAGACCTGCTGTGCATACAGGAGACTGCCTTGACACCAACCGATGTTTCTCCAGGCAAAATGAGGCCGCTCTTAGCTAAGAAACCAGTAGCACGCCAGTACTCTACAGATGAGGCCGTAATGCTGTACATTGACACTTCCCCGGCAGAAGCAGGCCCTGGAAAGCCGCCTTTAGAGAAAAGCTCCTCTTTTGGCGGGCAGAATAGCTCTGAGCAGGAAGCTGTAACTTCAGCAAGCGTGAGTCTGGTTGAAATTGAACCTGAAAAGGACCAAATGCACCTGGTTGCTGAATGCTTACCAGAAAGGTCTCTGAATCAGACGTGTGCCATCTCCGTGGATGGGTTTCAGAAGGGCTCAGCTGTCCCCACAGGTGACGACGAAGCAAAGAAACCCATCCAGGGACCAGAAATAGTGTGCGACCTTCAGCAAGTGCAGGCTCATCAAGAGCTCTCCACAGGCAGTGAGGGGAGGCTGGAAGCTGGGCCCGTGGGTGAAAGCCCAGCTCATGATGAGGGACCAACCATCAGCTATCAGTTTAAGCACCAACCCGATGTAAGCCACCATGTGCCTGGGAATATCGGCTATGAAGCAGAGATGGCAGCAGTTAATTCACTTGGTGAAGTGGGTTGCAAGCAGGAAAATGGTATCGCATCAGGTATCCCAACCAAAAGTGCCTCTGATGACAGCAGGGCAGACGAGACAGTGGGCAGCACAGACGAGCCTTCACTGAAAGGTCAGTTGTGAACTCTTTCTGGATCATGCAACTTTGGATGTGACCAGTAGTGGAGTCAGAGCAGGCTGAAGTTGCACATCAGCTTATCTCTGTGGGTTTAAGCACAGAGCCCTCCAAGTCTTTTAGCTGGCCAGCCAACCCAAAGATATTTACACCTTTTCAATGTATTCAGACCTTTTTGATATTTATTGCCTTCCTTGTGCTGCATTTCAGCTGAAAAGAGAAAAGGAAGGAGCATTGGCCCTGGGTACAGAGGAGCCTTAGTATCACAGCTGTGCAGTAAATGGGAGATCCCATGTTCAGTGCCTCGCAGTGCCCCTTTTATGGGCTCCAATATGCAACATTCACCATGTTTAGATTAGAGTGTAAGGTCTGTATGGTGGTATCAGCCACTGGGCTGTGAATAGAGCTGGTGCCTTGCACTGGCAGTGCTGTTGCAAAGTGCAGTGGGGTCTGACTCATAGCATGGCTTCTTTCCTTGTTTAAGAGTCTTCTCCAAGCGATGAGTCCATCATGTCTCCACTGAGCGAGGAGTCACAGGCTGATGCTGAGGATGTCTTTGTGTCTCCAAACAAACCCCGCACTACCGAGGATCTGTTTGCAGTCATTCACAGGTGACTTAACCTTGCAGCAACAGAAATGGTAACATTCATCCCTGCACAGTTGCCCACTAACAATAGTTACAGGTTATTCCATGCTTAAGTTTTGTCCTGAAACTGCCTTCTTTAGTTAACTCATTTTAGTTTTCTAAAAGGCAGCTTTTAAAAGATGGTTTATTATGGTGTGCAGTGTAGTCTGGGTACCTTAATGGCATACTTCACAGTATATACTTCACAGATGACAACATCAGGCCATTCTATCTAACAAACATACATGTCTTCAAAGAAAAGAACCAACAGTGGTTCCTGCCTTCTGTCCACCAGTTCACCAGCTCTATTCTGGTGTGTGAGTTGTTGAAGCAAGAATGATGAGAAGGCATCTCTTCAATTTTAGAGTATTTTGTAGTCAGCTGAAATTTGTGACCACAACTGAAATTAAAGATTTCTGATATTACATAGGTTATGCTGAGTCTTATTATTACCTAAGACTCTGTAGGCATTGTTGTCTTGACACAGAGCTGGCTGTGCATACACTGTTTTGGAAGAGCTGGGTAATGTTGAGAGGGCTCTGTGGCTCAGTGTCTCATCCATTACACAAGAGCTACCACAGCTTAAAGTGCCATCAGTCACTGCTAGCCTTGGGTATTTGACAGAAGGATTATGAGAACTCTAGCTAATATGAAAGAGCACTCAATCTGTAAAACTCCAGACCAGCCCTAAGTTTTATACTACAAAGATAACATATGAAAGAGTTTTCCTTTGTGTTTTTACAGATCGAAAAGGAAAGTTCTTGGGAGAAAGGATTCTGGAGACCTTTCTGTAAGAAACAGATTGAGAGCTTCATCTGGGACCAGCAGCCAGCCTCTCACTAGCAGCACGCTGCCCACCAGCAACATGCCATCAGCCGGCAGCATGGGCACTCCCATTAGCAGTCAGAGGTCACCTGGGCTCATTTACAGGAATGCCAAAAAGTCCAACACATCTAATGAGGAGTTTAAACTACTGCTACTTAAAAAGGGCAGTCGATCTGATTCCAGCTACAGGATGTCTGCCACAGAAATTCTGAAAAGTCCTATTTTGCCCAAGTCTCCCGGAGAGCTGATGGCAGATGCCCTTCAAAGCATGGAAGAGTCTCCTCCTGTGACAAGCCCTGACACATTGTCCCCGCTCTCCCCCTGCTCCCCCAGGGTTAACACGGAAGGATTCTCCTCCAAGAACTTTCCCATGTCGGCGTCGTCGAGAGTGGGGCGGTCGCGGGCGCCTCCAGCAGCGAGCAGCAGCCGGTACAGCGTGCGCTGCAGGCTGTACAACACACCCATGCAGGCCATCTCAGAAGGAGAAACGGAGAACTCAGATGGCAGCCCCCACGACGATCGGTCTTCTCAGAGCTCAACATAGGCTGTGTGGGTGCCAGGCTGCCAACACCACCTGGGCTCTGTAAGGATGTCAACATAAGAGGCCAATGCTGTAGCAATTCAAAAAAAAGAAAAAAGAAAAAAAGAAGAAAAAGAAGAAAAAGAAAAAAAATTGCAGGGCAGTATCGATGCTCAGATGTGTTTGCGTTCAAAAGACGCTGGGGAAATGAGGACTACAGCTGTAGCTATTTATTACATTACATTTTCTAAAAGGAGGAAGATATGCTATGTCTGTTCTGTTTTCTTTTGACTTCATTTGGTTTATCACACTCTCATTTCCATTATCACTGTAGATTTCAAGGGTATACACTTTCCATAGAGTTAAAGGTGACCTTGGGTATTTTTTTTATCCCAGAAGCTGCCCATCAGATACAAATCCCTCACTGTAGTGCTTCCCTAGGGAGAAAAAAAAAAAAAGAAAATGCTCTTGAGAATTGGTATTTTTCTACACTAAAATGAGCTGAAACAAAATTTAGAAGAAACTAACAAAACATATGTAAATATCATATTTTTGATAAAAATTTGTAAATAGAATTATCAAAAAGTGGACGTGGCAAACAATTTACTGCGTAACAACTTTGTTTATAGAAGACAAAAGAATTCAAATGTAATAACTGTATTCTGTGAATACCATTTTCATATCAAACATAAAAAATCCACATGGCCACCGATAACCACTTTCAGTGTGACAGGCCTGAAGGATGACACTGAGCAGTGGAAAGGGGGAATTCTCCACCTTAGCTAAGGAAACGGAAAGGCTGACTGTGAGGGGATTAAATTAACCATTTATCTTTCTAAGGCAGCTCCAAAGAAGCTAACTGGAAAGTGCAGCTGGGAAGGTTACCTTGAGGATTGGTGGGGAAGATGAATGGGTTTCTGACAGAACAAAGTTGTATCTGATGCAAAGTCCCAAAGGGTCCCATCCCACAGCCTCCCCTGGGCCTTTATTCTTGCAGGGATCGCTTCGGAGAGGATAGATGTGAGAGAAAACAGTACTGAACTTTCATATTCCTATTAGGCTATTGGGATACATAACACAGTCATAACCTGATAACTATAATCTTTAAACACGATTAGTTTCTGATTCATAAAGGAAACAAATAAATTGTAAGCATGCAAGAAGCGCTTTTGATTTATCAGTAAATATCCGCAATGAGTTTTCAGTGAAGCTTTCTCTTTGTGCTGATGAGATTCATGCTACCTAAATATTTACGAAAATGACACTGTGAAAACGTAGCTGGGAAATAGGTATGTGTATGCATTATTTATATTCATTGCTGAGCTGGGAAGAGGGAAGCTCTGGTTCATTGTGCCAGCCACATACAGTAAGGATCTTGTCTGGGTTTACCAGAAGCACAGAACAGGGTGGGGGACTGGGGTGGGGTGGGAAAGGAGATAAATCAAAAAGTAGCTGCTTTGATACAAATGAAGGCAGGGAGATAAAAGCTGAATTACTTGAAGTTACTTGAATATTCTCATCTTAAAACCACAAGAACCCATGAGTTGCTTTATACTTTTAATTTTAAATAAAATAAAACCAATAGGCCTGATCCTCCTTTGGGCCACTGCAATTTCCATTGATGTAGCCCCGTCCATGCTACTTGGAGGACGAGGCTCTCTTTATCCAAAACTGATGCAGTTGGTGTTGGTTGCCGTAGGATATGGTTTGGAATAGAGGAAAGGCTAGTGCAGAGAAAATAGTGCAAGGAGGAATGAGGTGTTTAGTAGGACAGGTCAAATAGGATGGCAGAAAGAGCATACTTTGGTACTAAAGAAATCACCTAAAAGCTGGCTTTAAGCATAAGTAAATAATAAGGAAGCAGGATGTGTGAATTCGGTTTTTACTGAGTTTTCTTTTAATCATGTAAAGCATAAAGCTGAGAGTTTTTAAAAGCGGACAGAGCATGTTTTATAGAGGAAGGTTCTACCTAAAACTGTTACAATTTTAAATAGTCAAAGCAAATCAGAACAGTTTAACAAATCTCAAATTATTCCCCAGAAGGTTCATATTTTATTTTGTCTAGTGCTTACCACAAGACGTATTATTCAGGGTTTCCCACTGTCCTCCTGTGTAGCCTGGTTGCATTTGTGTGGTGAGATAGAGTCACTATGCATGTGGTACGTGTGTTGGGATGAGGGGTGGTCCATCAGTTGAAGGGCTGCAAAATCATCTGAAATAGTTTTTCAGAAGGTAATAGGAGCAAGGTTTTGGAATCAAAAGGCTAATCACATTAGTAGCTTAGTTAAGAAGATAAGTCTGAATACAAGTGAAGTGAATGAATGAGAATGTTTTAAGAGGAAATGTTCAGCATATAACAAACCGCTTTCTGGAGAATATGAGTAAAGGAAGTTTAGATACTGGGCAGAAAATCCTTAGTTTGTCATCTTCAGTCATTCTCCATTAAAATTTTACCAGGAGCACTTTTATAATATGTTTAATAGCCCTGAGTTAAACAGTCATTCAAAACTGTAAAGAGAATACAGCTAAATTGACTTTGATGATATCACTTTCTTTATCAATCAATAATTTAATAGAGATCAAAAATAGATATATATACACTTTTTTTTTTACCAGAATGGTGAAGCAATATTTCACATACAAAATGGACACAGAAAAATCCCATTAAAATATAGTCTTCTTTTGCTTAATTTCCTAGTTTATATTTAGCAGACTGAAACCCAAAAAGAGATTCTAAATCCGGTAAGAAGAAAAGAGTCATAACAAACGTGGGAGTCAGAGGAAGACGAATGGCAGGGTTCCCTGTAGCACTGCAGGAATGCCACTAAGGCACAGAGGACAAGCCATAGAGCAAAGGGAACATCACTCACCTCTTGAGACAGGGTACAGTACGAGCATGAGGTAACTGCTGAACCGTCATTTCAACCTACTGTTCTGTTGCTTGCACTGATGTTATGAAAATGATTTCTTAAGTTATACAGCTGTGTTCTGAAAAAAAAAACATTTTCCCCTTTTCTCCTTTGTTCCTTTTTTTTTCATTTTGTTATTGTTGTTGTGGCAGCATAGAGGGCATGGGATAGTTGTAGCAAATAAAGCATATGTTTGCTTTTGCCAAAGGTCAGTGATTGAGTGCATTTGCTGCAATGGTGGCAGATAGAGAAATACTGTAGGTTATGACTTAAAGAATTAAAAAAAAATTAAGAAGGTTACAGTGTAACTATTTTGGTACTAGCACCAGTTCATGCTGGCAGAAAAGACAATGGTTTATGGACTTGCATCCATTTTGTATTTTTGTAATATTTGTAAATATGAACTTTTTAAATTGTTGCAAATATGGTTTCTTTTGTAAAATGTTTTCAAAGTTTACATTAAATCCAAGCCTTTGTATATTTTAGAGCTGTGCAACACTTTAAGTCTTGTATTTATTTTTAGTAAAAACGGTGACAGTTTCATTGTGAACCCCTCTCAAAAAATGTGTTGGAAAAGTTTGATTACCTAGAAAGTGTGTATAGAAACTGCAAATAAACGTGACTGCAATTAAATCACACCTTCTCTTTACTTTCTTGTAATGAGATGTGAAGTCTAATCTACGGACTACAAGTATGCTATTTCCAAAGGTCACTCTCGGGGCTTTACACATTTCAAACCCATTTAATCATGCTTTCTCTTCAACCTAATTTTTTTCATAAACTTTAAAAGGGAAAATCTGTATCCAAACTGTCATTGACTTTAAATGCCCACCAGTACATTTTTACCAGAATATAAAGACTGCTGAATTCGCCCCATGTCTTTTACAGGTAAGAAAAAGCTAAGAGAAAGAAAGCTGGGATGAAAAATGGTGGTAAGACCACTGCTTTATCTTGACCTGGAAAAGAAAACAAATTGTAACACTTCAGACTCAAGGCATAGGAAATCCAGTGACTGGGTCCTATCAGGAAGGATAGGAAGCCTTGGGCAAAAGGCAGGCCATAGATTATGAACATAAACTTTGAAATGCTAACACTACCTTATTTTAAAATAGTTTGGTTATGAGGAGGTTGAGGAGTCAGGACATGGAAACCAAGTGTTTAAAACAACAGCCCCTGCAAAGAGGCTGAGTCTCTTTGAAAATGAATGGAACACTGTACTTGGTATTTAAAAAACACATATGGAAAAAAAAAAAGCTGAAATGGACGTCTGGTGTCCTAGAGAGTGTGGAAAAAAGAAGGGCTTTGGGGAATGCTGCTGGGCTAACTGCAATGATATTTTGCAATGGCATGAGGATTGCCTTGATGATGTAGTAGCCTTAGAGATGTCTCCAAGTGGGAATCAGTTTGCATAACATTCACTTTAACCAAGTGATCAAGTAGTTAGTGGTTATGTGGATCATTCCCTGTTGTCTTGTGTGCCTTTCCCAATCCAGAAATACAGGTAAGCAAGATCTGTAGGGAAAGCTTAGGCCATAGAGGCAGGCACAAACTGTTTTTCCTCTGCCCACTGTACACCTGTAGTTTTCTATGCCCAGTGGAAGAGAAGATAAAACATTAGACTACATAAAATATAGTCAGTGCTTTTTATATATACAAGGTGTCATGTCCCAAGAGGGTGATCCTGGGTTACCTGCTCTGGGAGAGCCGCAAAATGTCGGGATTGTAGAGGGTAGTCCTGGACTGCCTATTCTGACGTATGTTTGGGATACCCTTGAGCTAAATTATGGTGAAATAATGCCAAATGATCAATAGAAAGTTTTATTTATGGCAGCAATGATTAAACCTTATTATATGTTCGATGGTTTGTGGCAACAATGATTTAAACGTTTCTGAACAGCATGTGGCAACAGCGATTTCTGAACAGCCCGTGGATTGAACTTTTCAGGAGAGGAATAACAGAATATACTAGGTTTCCAAGGAATCTCCCATACCTGTGGAGCAATTTATAACCTGTGGGCAATTAAACAATTTATTCAGGGTTGGGTCTTGTATTTCTACTTTGCTTACATCCTTATCAACAAGGTCAATTTCCATTAACAGTACTTGTCTCTGGGACCAAGCTGCCTCATGGGGAGCAACATATGGTTCAGATTTGAGTTATTTTTTTCTTTATTGTAGGGAATCGGGATGCACCATTTTGGATTCTACTGTATTCTGTTGTCTGTTTCAAAACAGTCACTCTCTAATGGTGGGTGACACCAATCAATCATAGAATAGTCTAAGTAAAACCTGTTATACGCCTGGTTACAATTTCCTTGATTTTTTCAAGGAAATCTCTTTCATTAGGTTACAACAAATTTGTGCCCACAAATTATCCCATTCTTAGACCACCCTGGCAGTAAAATGACTACTGTTGTCATATTGGACAGACTCGGGTTTAGACAAGTAACTGAACCATCACTTCAGCACTTTTACCGTACATTCTCCAACAGGCCGTGCTACTGCTTCAGCCTGAATGAGACCCGAAACTACTTCCACCCGGGCCAGCACATATTGTTTTC